GGCGGTGCGGCCGGGCAGCACCTTGCAGCGGTTCGCGGTTTACCCGAAGGAGCCTCACCCGGCCGGCAGCCGCTCCTTGTCGCCGCATGCAGGGAGGCGTTAAAGGCCTGAGATCTCAAACGCCTTCGCGACGAAAAGATTTCAATGAGCCTCGTTGCTTTCTGACACAAATAAGGGTACTTGTGAGAGACAACTTGGAAGATCAGAGGAAGTAAGGAATAGCAATGCGCTTTCCTAATATGTGGTATAATGAGAGTAGAGACCTCCCAGCTTTTTTTATTAACAATAATTTTCAAGTAAGCATTGGTGAGATTAATTCACTCTCAACTCAGATTGCCAAAAAACATTTGCATTGCAATTGCTTTTTAGAAGTAATTTGCTAGTGGTATGCTAGCTTGATAGCTGTGAAAATGGAGAATTTAAACTATATATTTACATCAGTATCGGTGTAAACTTCCATGGCAGTGGAAGGCTGTTTTGATTAATGAAGGCAAAATTTGGGCTACAAGGCCTTAGCCTGAGACACCAACAAGAAACTTGCAGTTACAGAGCATTCTACCTCACAAGCTTGAGTCTCACAACTTACCAGATCTGCAGTGATGTCCAGTGCTGGAAATGCAGTGTAACACTTTCTTATGGATGTGCATAGACCTGAATAGCTGTGGGCATAAATGCTCTTCTCCTTCAAGCCTCCAAGTAAAAGTCCGCTCAGCTCTGAATTTGTTGTTTCAGGCAAATGTAACAATATATTTTTCAACAATTTCCATTTCTGCTTTTTAACACTGCTCTGTACCTTGCTCTGTCTTAATTCTTGGTGTCATTCTGATTATTCTAGAGATAAGGCTGACCAAGAACTGGAACAAGATGACATCTGTGCTCCAAAACGTAAAGGCAACGATGGCCTGTCGGAAACACCAGCTCCTAGCTGACTTCGATGAGAATGACAGCCCTGTACCTGACAAATTCAAGAGACGGGCTGCTTTCACTTCTCTCAGTTCCATCCGCATGTCTTTACGGACGCGAGCACCACTAAAGCAAATAGAGCTGAATTTTCCTAAGACCCCTACTTGGAAAAGTCTGGAAGCAAGACAGAAGTGCCAATCTCTTCAGAGTATTAAAAGAACAGCAAAAAATGCTTTTGGAAGAGTGTCCCAGGTACTCTTTGCAGTGGGGTGTGGATAAGAGTTTAGGTTTTGCTTCAACTTCAGTACTAAGATTTCTGGGCTCTGTACAGAATGCTGTATTCCAGAGACTCTGTCCCACACACTTGCACACTGTAATAACTACTAACAGCTACTAACTAGTAAAATCTTTAATACCCTTGCTAAAGTATAGACAGGCAAATTATGCATCTGGCAGAACAAGGAGGAAGGTGAAAAGAAAACAGATGCGTTTCATCAAAGCATTTATTACTAATTAATGCTTTTCCCCTCCTGTATGGCATCATGTATGGCAGAGCAGCCTTAACAAGGAGGAAAGTGGGTAGAGACTGCCATTGCTTGCAAAGAAATGTTTCTGAGAAATGTGTAGTACTTTCAATTTATTTATTTTCTTTAGTCCTTTTCCTGTACCCATACTATTTATTAGCATGTTCTGCACCCTACTCAATCTGAACTTGGACTGACAAAACCTGCTAGATGGTAGCAGGGTAGTAAACTTGAGCTTGCACTTCCCTTTGGTGGAGACCTCTGTTTGGTTTTTTTAAGTGCCTCAAGTATATGTTAGGGCACCTGGCTCTTTCCTGCATAAGAGCAGGATAAGCTCTGTTCCAGTGCCGTCTGAAGTCTTCAACAAGTTGCAAGGACTGGGAGCAAATGACTCCTCCAATGCAAATGGGTACAGAGGGTTGAGACCATTTATGCCAGACTAAACCTGATATGAGAATAAAAGCTAGGGATTTAGCTCAAATGTTCCTTGCTATTCCAGTTCCAAACTCCAGCCTAACTGAGATTGTTTAGCATAACATGTCTGTCTAATGCTGCTTTCAGAAAATACAGAAGTCTTGCCAAAGTCCAGTAGACTCGATGGTGACCTTTCCAGCTGAATCCATCAGCAGAAGCTGTTCTACCAAGAAAAGAAGCACTACACCTCAAAGCCCTTGCCATAAGAAGAGTGTTACTCCAGCAGCCAATTCCAAAGGCAGCAAAAGAGCCTTGCCTCGGCCAAAATGGGTGTCAGAGCACAAAGAATGGAGGGGTTTCTCATCCTGGCTTGGTAAAGATGCTGTCTCACTCCGGAGATCAAGAAGAGCAGCAGCACTGAAGAGTCCTTATTCATCACCTGCTTCTGCCAGCAGAAAGATGTGAGCCACGTTCTCTTCTGTGATTAGAGCATTATGTAGGGCAGGAGATGAAGGTTGCTGTCTTGTTCCCCTGAAAGGCTGCGCTGTTTGAATAATTAGGAAAGTAGTTACACATCCTACATAGACAGGGACTGAGCACTGCATACAGCTGAAAATTGAAACTTAATTTTGTGCTGTGACAAGAATTTTTTAAAATCCCTTTCCCACTGGGTAAGTTGACACCATGTTTTTCAGCACCAGTCCCCATCAGGCACTAGAGACAGACCCAAATTCTTTGCTAATGACTTTCTGGTAAAGAAAAATGCTCTCAAGGCATCTCACTTAGCTCTAACTTTTCCAAAGTTGCTATTTGTATTGCAAAGATACCCGGAATAGCTGTGCTTATGCTAAGCTCTTTATAGAGCGTAGAAAGATTCTTGCCTCAAAGATTTAACCCAATTTAGATAAAAGGTTGTGAACTAGGGAAGTACTTCATAATGTGCACACAGGTTTTTGTTTTGGACAAAGTCACATAAATATCAGAGCTAGAAGCTGAGTCCAAGCCTTGTGACTCTGAACCCAGTATCTGAATTGGAAGATAGCTTTCTTGGGGATGAATGGAGATGTGAAGCACTTGGTCAGTGGAATCAAAAGCCTAATTTCTACAGCACTAAACTTCTCTGGGTTAAGTCTGGAGGCAATGAGAGTTGTTACTGCAGGGATAGAGGCTTGGGTAGTGTCAGCCTGTCCTGTCTGATCTTTAGTAATGACCATTCTGTTTGCAGAGAGTTTGACTGCGAGTTGGAGCTGATCTCTTCAGGGATTTGCCAATTGCAGCATATCTCCCAGGCATTTGATGATGCCATTGTGCAAAAGGAGAGGTAAATACTGGCCCTCAACTGGCAACGGGTTACCTCCCACTCAGACATCAATTGCAGGCTATGTGGTCCTTGTAACACAGGATGAGGAATAGCTGCAGAACTTTCTCAGCTGTTATGTAGCAGAGCCCTTCTTTCTTCAAGATACCTGTGCAGATTAAATCTGCAGCTGGACTTGCAGCTTCTAAAACCTGTCAAATGCTCCTCTTGTCTTCAGGTTTCTTGGTGTGAAAGTCAGGTTTTTTTCCAGCAAAAGCCTACCTTTGACCTTGCGTGAGAACGGTACCTCCCTGCCTTTGTCTAAAAGAGGTGCCAGTCCAGGCTGGGGAGGGGGAGAGGAAATTCCATTGCACGGACACTGTCATTGGTGCCTGCACATTTATAAAAAAATCCTTTCACTACGTAGCATTATATTCACAGATAGTCTCTGTACCCATAACTCAAACATTTAGAGGACGCAGAAGCAACTTACACAACACCTTGGTGGTACACACAACTACCATGAGGTGGTAGGCTGCTGTGTTTGTAAAGGTTATGTCATTCTGAATTAGATATATTAACACAGTAAAAACTAAAGGTCAGAAGTCTTGTCACAGGGCAATTCCCTAAACGACTTCCTCTCTCTAGAACGCTTGATGTCAAGCATTCAGTAGGTAAATGTCAAGCACCTAAAATCCCCTAGAGAGGACTTAGCATTAAGTACTTTTATCTACAAAGAGGCAAGGGCTTAAAGTACTACATAATTCCAAAAGTTTGATTTTTACCAATGGGACCATTTCGAGATAACTATAGGTTAAATCTTGTATTAAGTTAATGATCATATCATTGAAAGTTCACTAAATCTCACTCCTAATATCTCCCATCTGTTAGTGATATGACAGTTTCTCTCATTCATAACTGAAGATAATATCAGCCAGGTAAAGTAGTTATTCATTTACCTTGACTACACCTGCATGCATCTGTGGGGAGAAAACCTGCTGTTTGGAGAGAGAAATCCCTGTTAACTCATTCTTCTTTAAAGTATTACGCAGAACCCTGGGGTTCTTCCCTTAGATTCACTGTGGCTGTCTCCGCCACAGCAGATCATTGTGCAGTTGTAAAATTTCACCTCTACATTGTGGATTAGTGAAACCTTGTGTGTTTGCATAGAAGTCGGGCTTCTGTGCAAACAGCAGCTTTTCTCACCCAGCTCGGAAAACTACTGTTACTAATGTCTTTGTCACTCAACCTCAGTTCTCACTTGTTTTACTAATGAAGATCACAAAGCATGACAGAACAAACTATTACCCTGAGCTGTCTAATTTTACAGCCTTTCTTTTCCATCCCTAGCATTGTCTTAGCAGTTAAGACTATGCTATCACAGTAAGAGCAATTGATACCTGCACTGCTAGCATTTCTAAACACAGTAATTGTACCTAAGTGGATGGGAAGAGCAATTCTTTGCTGTAAGTTTCTAAACATCACTTTAAGTGTTAATCCACTGAACCATTACCAGGTAATGCCTATTACCTTCACTGAGATCTGTATTGTGACATTAATATCTTCACCCATTACGTTGGAAGTATTCCTTTTGTTAAAGTTAAATCCTGAACATCATGTCCTATTTTAGCAACAAAGATAGGTGTACGATGTTGATAGTTGTAACTTTCCAGGAAAAATTACAGCAGTTTCAAATGCTTGACTGAAGCTTTAAACGGTCATGTGTAGTGTTTCCACCAGGCAGTTTGGTCCAGTTCTCCTGCATGCAGTGTGCTTTGTCACTGCTGGTTTGTAGGTTGTCTACTGGAATAATTTTTTGGAGTTGCCCTTACAGTCTTGCATATGACTTTGTGTTCAATATCAGTTGCTGTGGGTTTTGGCGTTAGAGGTCCCTTTTCATCTTTTCATGAGCAAACAAACTTTTGATTTCAAACTGTTTATAGTTGCCAGGTCCATGTATTGTTCTAATATTTTTCGTTCTAATGAATTAGATATCATAAGAAGTGCTCCTGTTATTATTACCTGAAGTATTGCAGTACTTCATTTGTGTACTGCCATTTATGCTCGCTGAAGGTAAAAAATATTTTCTTGCTAGTGTTTAGAACTGTTACACAGTGAAAGCATACAGGTCCCAGACCTCTTCCCCACTTCCCTCTAACGGTTTTCCAGCACTTTGTGTGACAGTTAATTAACTTTACTGACTTCAGGCTGCTAATGGCAGTCGTCTTGTTCTTCTGCAGGCAACATGCAGTATCAAACTACTACTGTCTAATGGCACAAAGACGTTCTCAAGCTATCAGAAGGTGAGCAAAGAAACACCATCAAGCACTTGGTACCTACAGAGATGTAACTACTGTTTGTTGGTTTATGAGCACATTCAAAGGAGAGCTCTGTATAGGACTTGAAAGGGTACATTCTATGCATTGAGCAAGACATTACATTTTATAATCTTTCCTGACGAAGCAGGTCAGGACTTCCATTGCTTTTTCAAGTGAACAGGAGAATCAGAATTGTATGACCCTGTATTTCTCCTGCTGAGATGAGGTACCATATTGAATGTGACTCACAAGGCAGTAAGTATGTTGAAACTTATGTTGAACTGACCAGTAGGAATGGCCAGAGCAAGGGCCACAGACTAATGAAGGGTGAGCTTAGGTAATAGTAGTAGACTGGTATCCAACTGCCATGAGTTTCAGTTTGAGTACTTTGCATACTGAAAGTACTGGTCCATTGTTTTGAAAGCCTAACAATTTTTTTCTATATATGAACAAACCAAAACTTAAACATCATATTTAACTGGAAGTTAATGAAACAATAGTGGCTTGAGTTGTGACCACAAGTGCCATTCCAAGGCAACAGGTTTCTGTGGAATCACTCACTCCACAAGAGAGGAGCCGCATTAGGACTCTTGATTCATGGCCTTAAGGATTCCTATTAGATAAGCCTAACTAATCCCATTTTATGTGTTTGGGTTCCAGACAAATCAGAGCAACTTTATGTCATTTCTTGTTGCTGTTTTAGATAGCATCTGGGCAGTTGAGTTAAGCATTGCTTTTGTACTCTACCATCTGTCTTAGCTATATTCAGAAATCAGTTACTATAATTAATGTAACCTCTTACAACAACTGTTACTGGCTAATATCAGAGTGCATGTATTTTACTTGATGAAGTCTACTAAGCATTCGATACCTGTATTTTACTTCTAATTGCTTTTGTTTAAAAATGTAACATTCATTTGACAAGCCTTTTTTGGTAGGTGATTCAGTTTAATAAAGCTTAGTCTTTCAAACTAAAGCAAAGATTTCTCAAGCTTCTAAAATTCATCCCAAGGGCTATATCCCATGGTAGCAGCTTTAGCTTCTCAGATTACATTCACTCTAAGATGAGCCTTAGAACGAATGACTGATTTTGGAAATTGCTCTATCTGATAATTTTTGAGATGCACGGTTTTAACTGGAACTACTAGAAGTATATTAAGTATAAATATCGGAAGCAGTCCTCTTCAATTCTGATTTATGTGTAAGAATTGATTTTAAACTTGTCCCTGATTTTTCTTTTTTCTTGTCAACCTAGTGCATTTTAAAATATTGAAACAATTAAAGAAACACAAAAACAACTGCAACTTCCAGGTTTTCAGATGACTGAAAGCTTTAGTTTCTGATATTTCTTGAGGTAGTTTTCATGGATGTGTTTTGTGTTGCGTTTTTTGTTTCTATATGGAATAGTAGCTTGAAATTATTCTTTGCACAGACTGAAACTACTATACAGCCTTCGCAAAGATGGTATCTCATTACTGAACTATTTTGTCATATGACTCTCCATAAAACTCCAACCCTTGTTTCTTTTGAAATGTCAAGCTCCAATCTAACCGTTATTTCAGATGATAGGCAGATGTATTAAATGGCCGCTATTTATACTGTTTCCACTGGCTACTAGGACATGTAAGATGATGATCCAATACTTCCCACATCACTGGTAAGAAAAATCAGTGACACTGTTTGCTTAAAGGCAAGGAAGGTTTTATTTAAGTGACTAATCTGTTAGAAGATTTTAAAAACCAGCTCACATCAAAATCTTTACCAGTTGTAGAAATCTGACTCCTTATTTCATATTAAGAAATTCATTACTGTACATTTTTTAATCTTTACAAGGCAGCCATAAGAAATATAAACACTTGTCACCAGATAGAACCTTCTCACTCACAAACAATATTTAAAAGTATGCACCTAATAAAACTATAGACTGAAAGAACATGTACAGTGTCAAGTTTTCTTGTATGAATTCAGCTGCAAATGGACTGCCCTTCTCCTCCGCCACAAATAGAAAAATAAGTTATGCAGGAGGCTTGGGGTTCTGTGAGAGGACTGCCATTATGGGCCCTGCACCAGTCCTCCCAGAATTACCTTTTCTGTAAAGCTTGTAATCTTTAAGTTACGTTTCAACATTGTAATCTCTAGTGTACCATCTCCCAGCACACTCCAGTAAACCTGCTCTTCTCTCTCCCCCACTGTAAATTCTGTACATCCTTACAAGTGAGAAATGATCTGTCAAATTTGTTTCATGTTTCTCCTGTTCCCCACAATTACATCTGGTTTTAAAGGTAGCTTATTGAGATAAATAAAATAGAGGGTAAACTGGAATCCCCTTACCTTGGGCTTGAACTAAAATGAGGGAAAGAGGAAATACCAACACCTGACTTCAATTCCAGAGTCCATGGCACAGGATTCTAGCTGCTCCAGGCCATTTCTTATTTCTGAAAAAAAGAGCTCTTTTCATCCAGAAAAATATGTTATTACCTCCATATTTATGGGGGACTGAATTCAGGATCATCTGTAGGAACCTGTATTTACACTTGAGTGATTAAACATCATGGAAGTCAAGTTACCTTGTTAAACCCACAATTTCTGCTGAAGCTATGAACACGGACCATGAGGAATCATTGCTCTTAGAGAAGCTGAGGAGGTATGTTGGAAAGCTTTGTGGTTATGGTAATTCTATCCTGTACCGGCTCCAGATGAGGATGGAAAGAGCCACTTTCTCCCCTGCATGCCTGAAATGAACAATTCAATGCAAATCTTGAGTTCAGATCCCATATTTTAAGCTCTAATCAGAAAAATTATTCAGTGTACAATCTCCTCTCCATTATTAAGCTTATTAAAAAGGTGCCCTTACTCCAGTCATCTAGTACTGTTTTAATGTACTCACCTTTCTGTGGCTTAAATGCAAGAGGGGCAATAAAAAAACCTGGGAAAGATCCTATTTGTTCAGTAACAACTGTTGCACTTACAAATTTAAAAAACCTGGAAATACTTATTGGTTTCAAGTATTGTTAAAAATGCTTATTTTAGCAAATTTAAGACAAGAAATAATATAGGAAGAAGGAAGAATTTTCCTGTTTCCCTTCTAAATGTCTGTGACGTACATGATGACGCTACAGATCTAAGCATTGGAGATTTGCTTAAGTGCACACAGTAATAGTGCCCTGGCCTAAAGACCTCAGTGTATAAATGGGACAACTGTGCACTAATAATGGCAAACAAAAGCTGTTTTACAGAATGGTGGAGCTTCCAGATAAAGTGTAATTGTTGTGGTTATTTTAATAGTATCATAGAATGGTTTAGGTTGGAAAGGACCTTAAAGATCATCTGGTTCCAACACCCCTGCCACAGCAGAGACACTATCCACTAGGCAATCTAATGAATGAATTGAATTAATCTAGTAGATTAGGGTGTGCCATTTTTTTCTTCTAGTTTACTGATAGTTCCACCTGTACATAACCAGTGAATGCTTTAACTCTGTTTAGAAGTGAATTCCCTAGGTTCTAGAGGAACAGGTGAAGTAACCTGTAAGAATTAAAACTATTTTCATGAAAACAAATCAGAATGGCAGCTCTCATGAACCCCAATGAACAAGAAGACTTATCAATGCAATATCATTTTTACACCTAACAAAATTTTATGCTGAATAGATAGATATAAACCATACCACAAAAGTGAGTAGGAGTACTTTGGTCAAGCAAGAATCTGCTCCAAGAGCACTAGTGTATGCAAGCACTTTAAAAAAAAGTTATTCAAAATAAGCAGTTTTGGATCAACATCACTATTCAGGTCTGTGGAATATTCTGCACTCTTTTTACAATGACATCTTTTTTTCAAACTTACCTAACTAGACAACATTGAATAAACAGCCTTTTTTTATTATTCTGTTTTTACGTATATTGGTTACAAATTTGCTGTGAAAGCAGAACCAAAACTCTACTTAAGATGTTTTCCATTAGTCACACACACATACACACACACACACACACAAAACACCACAGTTGTGAAGGTATGTTTTCACAATATCTCGGATAAATCTACCACTGTTATTAATCACAGCCATTTTTTTTACAGTAATTTAAAACTGGATCCATATCAACAGAACAAAGTAAATGCTTCCAGCTCTGGCCTACTTTATACAGACTTGTACTGCTGCCTTTGCACCCACTGGAATAAGAGTTTTGTATTTTACAGTTTCACTTATGCTTCCTCCATTCAGCAGGTTGAAAAAAATGTGCTTTACTGTAGCAGACTGGAGGCACTAAAGGTGCTGAAACTATTGATGCATCTTGCGTGGGCACCCTCCACTCCTGCCTGACTTCTCTATCCCTTTCCCTTCTGTGTACATGCTAACAATTCCATAGCCTATAAAGTTTAAGTAAGTACTGACTGCACAGAGACTGCAGCAATGAGGACTTGCAACCAGAGAGTAAGATGACTAGCACCAAGCTTATCCTCAGGAAATGGCCTGCCTAGGAGGACTGATTATCCTTCCATGAAAGCAGAAGCAAACCAAATCCAATTGCAGACTGAATGCCCATGAACTGCTGCATGCAGTTTCACGTGTACTAAGCGTGTAACTAAAATTCAGACCGGAAGGAAATGTTTTAAGAGAAAACATGACTGAAAAATTCTGTATAAAACTAGTGATGCATCAGGCAAACCTCAGGGATCGCCCCAGGCACAGCTGGGAGGATAAGAAAAGCAAAAAAAAGGCGGTGGTTCAGCATGCGTAAGGTCCAGCTACTGCCACAGTGTCTGTTTTGCTGCCAGCCCAGCTGTGAGATGTTTACCACCACGACCATCTTGCTCGCACTCTCAGCTCCACCAGAAGTTTTACCATTTTAGTGTCAACTGGCTGGTGCTTTCAAAACAACTCCATCTGGCATCTGATGTTTCACTAGATCAGCTCCTAATTAACATGAAGCCTTGACCTCCAAGCTAACGCCTGTATCGCTGTTTGCCAAAGTGCTCAGCTGGGGGCATGAGTTCAGGAGAGAAACCATTCTATCCCTGAGCAATAAGTAGTGTTGGAATTATGCAAAGGCCACATAAGCTCTTACATATTGTAGGAAATGAGGTTAAGGAAAATATTTGCAGCTTGATTTTAATACCATGTGTATAAACTTTGAAACTGTTACTGCCATTCTAAATCATGCACACACATATACACACACACTAGCATTTGTTTTACTACTATGAGCTCATAATATTCTTAAGAGAAGCCAGCACAGTGACTACTGTAAAGGTGACCCAGTTATAAATAGAAATACACAAAATCAGAGTTTTCATGACATGGTACCTGGGAAAATGACATGGTGTCTGCAAGAGTAAAAGACAAACCTTAACAACCTAGGAGATTTCTCTAACTGTGTGCTCAGATACTATTCTTTTAATACAGTCACAGAATTACACACACCTCTCTTTTGAAAGGAAGGAGGCCTTTCTACTACAGCAACTTAAAATGAAAAAGAGATTTTGAAGCCTGTTGGATGAGAGAGGTAGATGGCTAAAGTAACATCATTAACTTTGAACTTTGCAGCAGGAAAGTAATCTGATTACTGTCAGGAGACATGCTACACAACACCCAGTGCTTAAACAGAACTTTGTGACCAATGTTGCTTTCAGGTCTCCTCAGTACATTTAAAATTCTCACAAGCCTTGGATTCCCATTCTTCTTTAAAATCAGCATGCTAATAGTGAACTGGCTGGCAGGAGACGGAGTCT